TGCTTTTCCTCTTTTATGAAAGGAAATTGCTCATAATACATGTTTTCGTCTGTGGACTCTGAACCGTTGCATATCATATGCAGATATGGCTTTAAAGCAAGCTTGTTCTTAAAACTACTACAGTGTTATGTACCAAGATTTTCAATTAAATGTGACACTTAAAGGTATATCTTTGTGAAAGAGGCATGCATTATTATTCACATCATATTCATAGGGTTGGCGCCTCTTTCTTGACTATGTCCAAAAGCTCTGCGGCCGATTTTGTTGACCATAATTTGCAGAACCACCTTCCTTTCCACAGCCAAGTTTACTTCCTTGTTAGTTAACAATTTAGTTCTGCAAATTTGAGCACTATAACTTATTATATCTGCATGCATGATGCATATCATGATTAAGTAAAGTGTCACACTGCTCTTTCTTTATCGCTAATTTAAGCAAATTAATCATGTCTAAATCAACTAAGTTTGACTGGATTTGACCCTTTCTCTTAATCTATGCAGACAGCTCAAGGAAACAGTGCTTGTGATTAAGAAATCTGATAAACTTCGACTGTTATTTATTTTAGCATGGGAGCGAGCAATAATAAGTTAAGCATGCTGCCGAGGGTCAAGTAAAGTAGAGGGGTGACTTGAAGGAGATGTACCTTTTGTATAATAATGGAGGGGGTAAGAAAGAAGCAACCACTCAAATCAAATGACAGTGGGTTGGGTTTGGTGAACTTTACCAACTAAAAAATCAAAGCTGTGGTTAAATTTGCATAGAAATGACACCCTATACCAAACTTCTCAGATCCCAAATATTTGTTTATCATAGACTGAGAGACTCTACATAAAAGCTCTGATTTTCCTTTTCCTTTTTCTTTTTCTTTTTGGTCCAAAGAGTTCTGTTGATTTGTATTGTCTTGTTGCTTGGCACCATGCACTCTGAATTATTTTTTATCAATAATGCCCCTGAGTCCCTGACCCTTGCATCTAATTTGACTAATTCGCCATCTCACATGATTGGGCTGATCAGTCATATAAACCATTAACATAATAATGTGACAAGATATATATTTATAATAAAAAAAATAAAAAAATAGAAAGGTATGAGTATAAAAGTAGACACTATACAATACCCAGTAAAAGAAGAAAATTAGGAAATGCTTGACTTAACCTACCTATATTATATGGCTAATGGCTACCATTGTGGTAGGATTTTCACTCTTTTTCTCTTGACTCTCTTCTTCTTCCCACTCTTCTTTATAATGGGGTCTACTCTAGAGGCACTCTCTGGGCTCTAGAGAGAGACAAAGAAAAAGACTTTCATAGTAAAACAAAGCAAGCAAACCAAAGCAGTTGGCTTTCTTTTTGGCCATTCAATATTTCATTCATTCACACTTCCAGTATTCAGTTGGGTAAATCAATTAAACATCCCATTAATCCCAAACCCCCCTGTGCAACAAGGA